GTATGAAAGTTCCCCCTTCTCTGTATACTTGCCAACATCTTGAATTTTTACTGTTTTTAATTTTAGCCATTCTGATAATCACAGAGTGACTGCTCATTGTGGATTTAATTTGCATTTCCCTATTGGCTAGTGATGTGGAAAATCTTTTCATGGTGCTGGCTTTTTTATTTTTAATTTTTTTCATTTAAGGTTCATATATAAGATAAGTCTCCCAGAAAATTATTTTAAAAACAAAATTTTTATTTTCCAGGTCTTAAAACACACCATAAAACTGTTCTACTCAGAATAGCATAAAGAGCCCAGAAGTAGGTTCTGACATAAATGCATATGGGGTGTGATCTATGACAGAAAGGTGACTCAATATGGAGAAAGCACAATTGTATCTAAGACTAAATAAATGTTATTTACTCAAAACTTAAGTATAAAAAATATAACGATAAAGATGTTTAAAGAAATTTTAGGAGATGTAGGATAATGTTTGTCCCTTTAAAAATCTTAATTTGGAAATTTACAACTTTGCACAAAAGTACAGAGAAATGATGAACAAGCCCCTAGATGTGTCCCCCAGCCCCACGAGCCCCAGGCGCGCGCCTGCGTCCTACCTGCTCTCCTACCATCTGCCCCTGGATATGTGCCCTCATCCCATCTGCCCCTGGGTGGGCGTCCTTGTCCTTCACCCAGAACTCCAGGCATCAGGATCTGCTCTGTTTCGAACTGGCTTTCTGGGTTGCTTGTTTCTTTCTTTTTCTTTTGTTTTTACTCTTTGTTATAACCACTAACAGAATTAACAGTAGTTTCATAAACTAGAAACAAACAAGAGACGGTAGCTAGGCTTGTCTGTATGTGGAAGAGTATGCCATGTATAAGATGGTGGACAAAATACAGATGCAGAGAAATCTCCTGTCCTGTTGTGAGATAAGAAGTTGTGTGGGCTTGGCGACTGTGGCTCAAGTGGCTAAGGCACCAGCCACATACACCTAAGGTGGCAGGTTCAAATCCAGCCCGGGCCCGCCAAAACAACAATGATGACTGCAACGAAAAAATAGCTGGGCGTTGTGGCGGGCGCCTGTGGTCCCAGCTACTTGGAAGGCTGAGGCAGGAGACTCGCTTGAGCCCAGGAATTGGAGGTTGCTGTGAGCTGTGATGCCACAGCACTCTATCCAGGAGGATAGCTTGAGGCTCTGTCTCAAAAAAAAAATTAAATAAATAAAAAGAAAAAAAAAAAAAGTTGTGTGTAGGATACAAAGCCTTTGTAAAATTGTTCCTTGCCCCCCTCCTCCCAAAAAGGGTAACAATCCAGTAGGAAAATGGGCAAACAGCATATGTGGGTGTTTACCTGAGAGCAAACCCACATGGCCTATGAGCAGGGAGCCCAAGCGAGCAAGGACATGATCAGTATGGTGGGGAGCAGAAACTTTCCATCTTCCCAGTTGGCTGGGCCACCGCTGGTGCTGACAGAGTGAGGTACGGCCCTCTCGTGGATGTGAGCTGCTCCGGTCCTTCTATACTGCCTGCCAGCAGCATCTACTGCAAGTAATAGTGCCTCTGTGGTGTTGGTCCTGCTGTGCTTCCCTGGGCATCTGTAGCCCGGAGTGTGTGCAGGCTGGGCAAGTGTCCTCGTAGCTAAGCCCTACTCGTGGTCACCTTGTTTGCAATGACAAGACATGGAAAGTTTAGCTCATTAGGAGAAGTATCCAGTTAATTGTTTTATATCTATGTTGTAAAACTCCACACATCTGTGCAGTGTTGAGATTTCTATAGTTGGTTACATTGGCAGCTAAGATAGGACAGCAGCTGGGGGAAGTGCCGAGTGGGGCAGAGTGCACTTCTGGTCATGGAGAGTGAGTGTTATGAGCCAGAAGAAGGCTGGCTGTCACTTTCAGTTGGAGCATATGAGGTGATGCTATCACTTGGGCCCCTGAGTGACAGGGACCTTCTTGCAAGAGCTCCCAGCAGGGCCAGTGGGGTCTCTGACATGCACTCAGGTCCTGGTGCGTCTCTGCGCCTGCCCAGCTCCGGGCTTCCTTCCAGGCCCTCAGCCGAGGAGAGTGCTGGGCTTGTGTGCATGCTGGATAGGAGGCTCAGGGCTATTTCCAGTTCCGGATCTTTGAGGTGGGGACGGTGCTGGCTGTGCACAACCCAGAATACCTGAGGTCACAGTACTGTGATGGACACTTTTGGGAAACTAATCTTGCATTTATCCTTTTTGTTTCCCTAGTGTGCATTTTAATAGAAAACTTGTCACTTTCCAAAATGCCCTTTAAAGGTGACACCATAATTGGTAAGTGCTTTTATTCTTCCTGACTCACATAATAGAGTTTTCTGCTAAAATAACTTTAATTAAAAAGTAAGTTGAGAGGCTGAGCATGCTTGCTCACACCTGTAATCCTAGCAATTTGGGAGGCTAAGGCAGGAGGATTTCTTGAACGCAGGAGTTGGAGACCAACCTGAGCAAGACTGAGATCCCGTCTCTACTAAAAGTAGAAAAACTAGCTGGGCATAGTGGTGGGTGCCTGTAGTCCCAGCTACTTGGGAGGCTGAGGCAGGAGGAGGGCTTGAGCCCAGGAGTCTGAGGTTGCTGTGAGCTGTGACAGAACAGCACTCTACACAGGATGACAGAGTGAAATTGTCTCAAAAAACAAAAAAACTGAGCCACGAGCCTGTTAGGACTGATGATAGGGTTGTAGCTAAGGGCTCATGCTGCCAGAATGCCTTGTCCTGAAGCTGTTGCCAGAAACTGTTAAGCCCAAGGAGCGACTGTCATCCTCCCTTGCACAGAGAAGCCCCTTTCCCACCCCTTTGTGGTACTCCCAACTACGAGTCAGTCCTGTGTCCTGAGTGATAAACACAGGCCTTGTGGACCAGGAGGTGTCAGTGTCAGTGGCAGCACCCGCCTCTCCCTGCTTGCCTGGAAGAGCTACAGTAAGGAGGAGGTCCTGCAGACTCAGAAGTTAGGACCCTTTTTTGTTTTCTTTAATAACACAGGCATTTATTACCTGGTGTTTAGTTTGAGTTGAATATTTAAGTTTATACTGGTAGGAAGCTAAGGGCAGGCAATTTGAGGGAAAGAGATAGGAAAAGACTACTTGGGGTGGGACACAATTATAAGAGGGACTTTATCTAACAAATGCAATTAGTGTAACCTAATTCTTTGTACCCTCAATGAATCTCAAACAATAAAAAAAAAAGACTACTTGAAGCTTGCAGGTATAATAAAAGGACAAAAATCTGCCCCAAAATATGATGTTTAAATCATTAGGTTTACAGCAGGGGTCCTCAAACTTTTTAAACAGGGGGCCAGCCATTGGAGGGCTGTACTGTGGGCCTGAGACAAGTTGGCTGCTAAGCAGGACAGGCAGCAGTGGCAAAAACACCTGGCAGGCCGGATAAATGTCCTAGGTGGGCTGCATGTGGCCTGTGGGCTGTAGTTTGAGGACGCCTGGTTTACAGACTAGAATTTCTTAGTCAGGGTTTTTTAACAATTCAATAAGAAAAACAAGACCTTTTCCCTTTAAATTGAGAGGGTCTTTAGAATTTTATATGAATTGGAAAATGCTTAACTTTTGGTTTTTTGCAGATTCTTCCCCCAAAGTTACCATCTACTTTGATTTTAAAAGTTAGCAGAAAATGTGTTTGTTGCTATTTTTAATTTCAACTAAATATTCTTAATTGGGTGAATTTTCTGTTTCTTTAACAGATGGTTGGCAGTGGCTGATAGACGACACTTTGAAAAGTCTCCATCTTATTTCAAGTCATTCTAGACAGCAGATCAAGGTGTGGTCACAGGACTGTCCCTGGTGCTGGGCTGTGGAGAGGTGACACTTTCTCATGTCATTTTCACCTGCCAATGTGTGCATTGGAGTTCCTCTTACAAATGTGGTTGATGAATGCTGTAGTTTCATTCAGAATTCTAGGTGATTCTGTCTGTGCAATTTATAGCCAGGAAACCTAGCAGAACCACTGGAAATCAGAATGTCTGATTTTTTTGTTACTGGTCTGGCTTTACTCACTTTGAAACATTTTCCCTATACACTGATAATAACTCTTTGCTCAGGGGAACTGTGCGCCCTGTTGAGTTGTGGGATTTGAGGTTTGGGACTTCACGTGTGCTCAGATGTGGGTGGGAAAGCTGCACCCAGACTCTCTGCCTAAGCCCCCGATG